TTCTGGTAATTAGTTAAGCTGCATTTTTAAATACTTTTTTTTTTTAAGTAATTGAGTTTTTATAAAGTGCATCATTTTATTATATATGAAATAGATTTAAGGGGCGACATGGTGAATCAGTGGTTAGCACTGTCGTCTCACAGCAAGAACGTCACTGGTTCGAGTCTTGACTGGGTCAGTTGGCATTTCTGTGTGGAGTTTGCATGTTCTCCCTGTGTTCATGTGGGCTTCCTCCGGATGCTCCAGTTTTTCCCCACAGTCCAAAGACATGCGCTATAGGTGAATTGAATAAACTAAATTGGCCATAGTGCATTAGATTAGATTAGATTCAACTTTATTGTCATTACATATGTACAAGTACAAGGAAACATAATGTAGTTCAGGTCTAACCAGCAGTGCAATAGCAGCAAGAGTAGAATACAGGTGTAAATTATAAAGTGCAGTTATAGAAAAATTATGGTGATATTTACGGATGAATATACTATGAACATTATACAGGTTGTATTAGATATGAACAGATATTTACAATAGATGAATATATGTACAGTTTGCTATTAATAATCAGAAGTGTGCAGTGTGTAAGTGTAAGTGTAAACCTATGTTTAGAATTTTAAAATGCATGGCGCTGCGTGGCGCTACTTGGCACGTCGCTGAGTGATCCTTCTGGTGTGTGACCCCCTTTAAGTCTACTGGTTTTTGTCCGGAGGAGCCTAAAGCGCCTGCTGGAAGGCAGGAAAGAAAACAGTCTGTAAACAGGGTAAGAGGAGTCCTTAAGAATACTGCGCGCTCGGCACAGACAGTGTTTCTTCTGGATGGCTGGCAGTGTGGTCCCTGTGATGCGTTAGGCAGTTTTCCCCATCTGCTGCAGTGCCTTATGCTAAGCAACAGAGCAGCTTCCATACCAGACTGTGACATAGTTGGTCAGGATGCTCTCTATTGTGCAGCAGTAGAAGTTCACCAAAACGGCTAATGAGAGCTGGTTCTTCTTAAGTAAAAAAATAAATAAAAATAATAGGCGCTGGTGAATAAGTGTGTATGGACGTTTCACAGTGGAGTTGCAGCAAGAAAGACATCTGCTGTGTAAAACAGCTTAACTTTTAGCGCTTAACTTTTTTCCCTGTTTTTTTTTTTACAGCCTTATTCCCCACAATGACAATATGAAAAAGATTTTTTTTAATTGTTTCAAATTTATTAAAAATAATAAGCCTAAAAAAATCACATGTACATAAGTATTCACAGCCTTTGCCGTAAAGCTCTAAATATAGCTCAGGTACATTCTGTTTACACTGATCATTCTTGAGATGTTTCAGCAGCTTAACTGGAGTTCACCTGTGGTCAATTAAGTTGATTGGCTATGATTCGAAAAGGCATACACCTGTCAATAAAATGCCCTGGGGTTGACAGTGCATGTCAAAGCACAAACCAAGCATAAAGACAAAGGAATTGTCTGTAGACAGTGCATGTCAAAGCAGAAACCAAGCATGAAGACAAAGGAATTGTCTGCAGACCTCTGAGAGAGGATTGTCTCAAAGCACAAGGCTGGGGAAAGTTACAGAAAAAAATTCTGCTGCACTGAAAGGTCCAATGAGCACAGTGGCCTCCATCATCTGTACGTGGAAGATGTTTGGAACAACCAAAACTCTTCCTAGACCTGGCCGGCCATCTAAGGTGAGTGATCAGGGGAGAAGGACCTTAGTCAGGGAGGTGATCAGTAACACGATGGTCACTCTGTTTGAGCCCCAGCGTTCTTCTGTGAAGAGAGGAGAACCTAATAGAATGACAGCCATCTGTGCTGCAATCCACCAATTAGGTCTGTATGGTAGAGTGGCCAGATGGAACCCACTCCACACCTGGAATTTGCCACATGGAATCTGAAGGACTCTCAGACCATAAGAAAAAAAACCTCTTTGGTCTGATGAAACTAAAATTAAGCCCTTTGGAGTGAATGCCAGTCGTTACATTTGGAGAAAACCAGGCACTGCTCATCACCAGGCTTATACCATTCCTATAGTGAAGCATGGTGGTGGCAGGAAGTGGAAGACTAGCCAGGATAAAGGCAAAGATGAATGCAGCACATGAATGTACAGAGACATCCTGAATGAAAACCTGCTTCAGAGTGCTCTTGACCTTAGACTAGGTGACTGTTTATCTTCCAGCAGGAAAATGACCCAAGGTACACTGCCAAAATATCATTGGAGTGGCTTCACAACAACTCGGTGTGTCCATGAGTGGCCCAGTCAGAGCCCAGACCTAAATCCTATTGAACATCTCTGGAGAGATCTGAAAATGGCATACACAGTCGCTTCCCATCCAACCTGATAGAGCTTGAGAGACACTGCAAAGAGGAATGGGCAAAATTTTCCAGACATGTGTGCCAAGCTAGTGGCATCGTATTCAAAAAGACTTGAGGCTGTAATTGCTGCCAAAGGAGGATCAATATTTGAGTATTGAGCAAAAGCTGTGAATACTTATGTATGTGATTTTTCAGTTTTTTTCTTTTTTCTTTTTAATCAATTTGCAATAATTTATTATATGCTTCTCATATAGTCTGACATAAATCAACACCAACAAATGTTCAGAATGAATAATGAGTAAATAATACCAGAATTATTACATTTTTCTTTTTTCAGAGTTGGTCCATTTTTTTTACCTATTAGTGAACCTAAACCCACTTAATGTTTTCTCCCACTCTCTGTAATTTTAACAGATTTCTGTGTAACTAAGATTTGAAGCTGTATGGGAGATTTTGAGGAGAGGGACAAAAAGAAAAGAAGCGTATTAAAGATACCATTGAGGAGGTAGAGAGGCGCAGGGTGCATAACATAATAAGATCTAAATGAGGCTTAATATAAATAGAGGACCAGGCAAAGAGCGCCAGTACAAAAGAGACTTCTAAATGAATCAGCGAGGTATTTTCAGAGTGTTGGTGGCGATGAAAAATCCTCCAATGAGCCGCCAGTTTTATTTCAAGTGTGGTAATGAGAAGAGTCTGTCTTTGGTCTCTTTTTCATCGCAGACGTCACCAAAAGCAAGTCTCGCAGGTCACACACACACTTGTCTTTGCACATTTCATGAGACAGACAGATGTTCTCAAGAGCAATTGAGTGGAGATGCATATCAGAACAGAAGAGGAGTGTATGAACATATAAAGCGGAAGTCGTAACGAATCCAGTCTAATGAAATCTTGAGGAGCTTAGGATGAGTCATAAAACATTCACAAATACAAATACAGAGCAGCACATTCAAACTGAGATTCAAAACATACGCACACACACACACGCAGTGGAAGACAGAGCAAGTCAAGCTCAGCACATACAGCAAACCATTCTAGTGGAACTGTACCAATGATTAGGGGTGAAATTGTTTCTTCTTTCTTTCTGCTGCTCGAACAGAAAGCGATTGAATGCGAGCTACAGAGCCTGCAGAGTTCACAAAGCACGCAGCCCTCTGTGTCTCATAGATAGAGTACAAACACTCTTTTAATTACGTACTTTAATTGCTAGTATTGTTCTCAACATTGCAGAGTAAAGAAGAGCAATTTAAAGTCAATTCATGGAAAACAAAGACAAATCTCACTCTATAAAGTCAAGTTGATGCTGTTTGCAAAGCAAAGGCGTGTGTCATTACTGACCTCTGCTGGTTAAAACTGAATATTGCCATATTTTCATGAATTCTTTCAAAATTTTTACATTCATAAAAATATGACCCAAAATTTTGTGGTCAGAAACTTAATACACATTGTATTTTTTTAAATGTTTTGTTGATGACTGCATTTTCACCTTCAAACGTGACAAAAATGAATTAGTATTGTCACCATTTAACATGCTGTAAATCATTAAATCTTTCTTTTGTCTTAAATGAACATCTTGTAATAACAGATGCTGTTAATACGCATTTTTAATCCAAATCTAAACTGTAGTGTAGTGTAACTGTCTATACTTGCAAAGTTCATTCAATTATAGCTCTCATAATGAAAAAGTTAAATCAAGTGCCTCAGGCCCGATTTTAGATATTTTCATTAATATATTTCTAAAGACATAGGAACTTTAAAAAATGTATCACTGAAAACTGTGTCGCCTTGTGTGACACTATGCCAATTTAAAATCGGTCAATTCCATGCAAAACTTCAATTAGTTTAAGGACCCAATTCAAGAACATATGACTGAAGCCCATGTGAAGCCCATGACACGGGTTGTTGCTAGATCGGATATGCTAGCGGCCGGAAGTTAACGAGAATTATTTATATTATTTATTAAATTTCTCATTCATTGTATTTTATTAATCCAATCTAGACTTTACCCAGGACATGCACCTTGTTCAGTTTTCATCTCAGAATTGTTTACATGTTCACATTTTATTCGGAACCACTGTAAAAAATTAAGTTCTTTGGTGAAGACACATATTTACTGAAAACCAGCATACTGTATAATGGGGGAAAATATTCATAATTTCATATAAATTGTATTTTCCTAAATGAATAGTTTTTTCTGTCATTATTAGCTAGGCAATGTATTTTGTTGCAATGGATGTCTCCTCGACTCCATGCCATAATCAATTGATTAAAGACACCTTATTTTTAGTTAGGGTATAACCTTATTTTTGCTAAATATATTCTTTTTGTAGAAAAAATTATTTCCAGTGCTCAGCATAATTGAGTACACCCCATTTTGAAAATGAATATTTTTATCAATTTTTCCGTGAATATAGGCATTGTATTTTGTTGCATTTAAAGTCAAGCAAAATATTGCTTGTAAAAAAATTACAACCTAAAAAATTTCAACTAAATTTTTTCATTTTTTTTTCTTCTCTTGATTTTTCCTCTTTTTTAAAAAAAAAAACTTGTATTTAATATTTTTCTATAACATATAAATTTGGATGTTCTAGTTTTTGGACTGTTATCATAAGTTATTTTGTTAGATAAGCTCCAGATTTGGCTTCAGTACTGACTAATCTAATGTATATGCACAAATATAATATTGTGGACCATTAAAAGACCACTTGAAAATTCTCTCTTTTTTGTGATAAAGATTGATGTATGTACTACATGTACACATCCAATTTAATGTACAAATGTACTACAAATTGTAAATTCACGGAACCTTAAAATTTTCAAGCTCTCTTTTTATTCTTTCCATATCTGCATAGATTTTGGTTGAAGATTTCTTAGTTTAATTTTTAATGCTAAATGAATAACTAAATGTGTAAATTAATATTTAGTTACTTAAAGTTTCAGTTACAATCATATATAGTTAGCAGTAGATATATAGTTCTTACTGTGCAATTTGGCTCTATATCAGCTCTACATACAAAGCCTACCTTCTCCTTAGTCATCGACCGGTATTGAAGTCGGATGGTTGTCCTCATCTTCACTTCTTCGTCTTCTCTTCTTCTTCCATGGATGTTCTTTATGAATCCTCGAATCCTTCATACTGATCAAGGGAAGTAAATATTCTTATATGGTGTTTACTAGAAGATCTACCATCTATCTGATGAACTGTGTCTCTGTATACTCACCCACGGATGTTCCTTATGTGCCTTCGGATCCTTCACACTAATCAAGGGAAGTGCTTAAACTTATATAGTGTTTATTAGAAGATCTGCCATTGAATTGATGAACTGTGTGTCTATATACTCACCTGCTGATGTTCCCATGAGATCGCTAACATCTGATGTTTACATTACCATGCTGTGAAAGAAGATCGATAACAGCATTAACACCACTCCTTTACCTCCTCACTTTGATTAAGTAACTTTGTTTTGAATAAAACTAACAAACGATAACCATCCTTGTCTACCAGCTTGACAGAATACTGGCCCAGAAGAAAACAACACGCTCATGAAAGCTATCGCTGTGCTAACCGGAAGCGCTTCGGATCCATTCGCTGGTGTGGTCCACACCATGTGGCAAACGTTGCCTTCCACACCCTTAAGTGCCACTTTCACCCCAGTGGTCATCATGAGCACGCCACTTGCTCGACCCATGAATTACTCGGGTGAACGAAGCACCTGGTTTTCTCTCTCAATGTTCACTGTATATGGAAGCCAATGCTCATTAATTTCCTAATGAAATCTTGAAAGTTGCTTTCATGATATCCCTGCTTTTAGGTTGAGCTCTACAGTGGGCAGATGCTCTATAAAATGCCAGCAGCACGGTGATGGCCACCTTACAAAATGTTCTTAAGCCACTTCAAAGAGGTATTTGCAGTCCCACTCCCTTCCCTGTCAGTACATGACGAACTAATTAATCTCCGCCACTGAAATCTCCCCATCCATGAGTATATGCTACAGTTTAGATCACTTGCTGCGAGTAGTGGGTGGAATCAAGAAGCCCTCCTAGCTTATCATAAGGGGCTAAAACCTCACATTCATAAAAATGGTCATTTACGATGATAATGCTAACTTAGAAGCATTCATCAAGAAAACTATGAGCGTATCACAACATTTTTCTGCTTGCCCATTTTCCTCGTCTGCTAACGCAATATAATCTCCCAGAGTTCCATCGCTAGCGCTGGAAGCCGAAGAGCCAATGATAATGGACGCATACCGCCTGAAATCCTCCGAATGTCAATGGTGAATCTGTTACCAGCTCTGCCTGTATTGTGGAGAATCCACTCCCCTCATCTCAGTCTGCCCCGCTGTTAGATTTTGCTGTATTTGGCTTAACCGTTCTTGGGGGGCTCGCCAATGTATTAGATTACTCTAACACATAAAATAAGTAAGCTGACCAAAGTTCTTACGGAGAGAAGACTTTATTGAAGACAATGAATAGTGCAGTTCCTCAGCAGTGATGTTAACCCGTCGGTCTTCAAGTAACTTAACTCAAAGTACTGTCTGTGAGACAGTACTTTATATTAGCATCAAACAAACCATTCTGTTTACGAAGCTCAGCAGGACCCTCTTCAGATGTTTCAGCTGTTGTTTTGCTAATACCCATTGAGATTGTAAAAGGGTCATTTAGTTCACACCTATCAGTTTGTGGGGGTCGAGGCACAGGTCACCCCATCATATCACATCAGAGTTTAATCAATGTAAATGCAAGTGAACTAAAATGCACATAATCTTTCAATCCCTCATCTGATCATATTTGATCATAAAACAAGTTAATCATGTATACAGCAATCTGCAATACAGGCTATATAACTTAAAGTGACAGAATAACAAGGCATGGTGAAGCTTGCATTTCCTTAAATGCCTGAGTCCATTTCTATTTGAAGTTGTGATGTTGTGGAAGTAGCGGATGTGGTTGTGTTCTGTGAATGTTCAGGTGTGTTCATCTAGGTGTCTGGTGTTGTGTGTCTCTGGTCATTCTCTGGAACATCAGAACACCTGCAATCACACAAAAGAGAAAAGGGAAACGTATCTTGCCCAAAAAAAGATTTTAGAGAAATTGTCAAACTGCCTATAGAAACTATAGAAACTGTCCCTATTTAATATTGACAGGACACTACAGTGTTTATCAGTGGTGGTTTATGTCTTCATCCTCAGGCGACAAGCTAGAGCCTAAAAACTCTAGTCCCGCCATATCTGGACTCTGAAAAACACTACTGTCATCTATCCCTCGTCTCTAGGCAAACTCACGTTGATCCATTCATCAAGTCCCTGAACTTTATTTATTGAATCAGATACTAAAACCTTCTCATGTGAGCTCTCACACCTAGATTTTAATGGTAATATCTGAGGTTGTCGTATCTTTATCCATTTTCTGGGCTCTAAACTATGGCCCCTCTTCAGAGGTGACAAAACTTGATTATTGTCCTCATGTACTGCCAGGCTGAGTCTTGCTTTGTTTTGGACAAGGCTGTCAGATGTCAGGTTTTCTGTGGACATGGGCTGGCTTAGGGCATGTTCAAAAGGGCATAGTCTATTTCCATCTGTACTGCATTGGTTGCCATCATGCAGTTCTATTGCACCGTCCATCAGCATTTCTTTTGTTGAGTTTTCATTTGCAGTCTGCTTTCTGTCTAAGACTGATCGGTGGTCTTTCTGAAGCTGTCTTAATGCCGCTGTATGTTCACCTCTCTCCTTTACGGCTTGTTTGGCAACACCATCTACTAGGACACCAAACTTGTCTTCATCTGTTGAGACTTCTGTGTCAGCTTTTATCTTACTGTTTGCATACACATTCAGTTCATCAGCTTCTGGAAAAGACGTCACTAGTTGGTGCTGCAGAGAGAGGTTCTTTAGTTTCCCTGCGGCTGTACAGCATTTAGCAGAGTCTGTTTTTGTTGTATTGTTAGCTGCTGAAACTGCTTGAACAGGTGGTCATCATCCTTGCTTTGACGTTTTAAACTGAGCCTGCACTCACGGGCCCAGTGTCCTTCTTCATTGCAATTTCTGCATCTTCCTTTAGTTCGTAGTTTTGAGTATCCCATATACTCACGTTCTTTTTGCTCATCCTCAATTCTTCTGTTCTTGTAAAACAAACTTTCCGATTGCAAAGATCTGAGTCTGACATCTTGTGCTCTCTCCAGTTTAGCTGACCATTCAACAATCTGGATGAAAGTTGTTACAGTGCTGTCCCAGTCATCATACCTGATTTTAAGATCTTTAGAAATCTCAGGATTGAGTCCGTTGACAAATGCTGTTTTCAGGGGAATTCCAGTGTCTTTGTCAAGATCTTCACTTGTATTCAGATCCGAATGTTCCGTCCATATTTGTCTGAAGCGTTCTTCAAACTCTGCAACACTTTCTCCAGTTTTCTGCGTGCATGAGGTAATTCTTGCCCAATTGACCTCTGCAGGTTTCAGTTCAAACAAGAAGTTTTTTATGGCTTCCCATCCATCCTCTATGTTTTCTTGTGATTCACCAATCCTTCTTTCAACACTTTCTGTGAGTCTCTTTTGGTCACTGTCTCTTAGGGTGACATTAAGAATCATCACACCGTCTAGTGGATGTAAAATGTAGATTTTCTGCAGTCGTTGAAGAAACTGCCAAACCTTTCGTGGTTGTTTGTATACATCTGGCAGCTCTTTTGACCATTTGTCAACTTGCTCTGGAGTAGCTGGATGGTATGTCCTGTATGGAACATACTTCTTTACCAATTTTGTCACAGTGCGAGTTAGTCTCTCTTCATTGTCTTCATAGTCCTCCTCATTGTCAATTTCAACGTTAGTCCTTCTGTGTTTGACAATCACAGGAGCTAATCTAATCTTTGAGTTCACTGGGTCATGAACACAGGTGTTGATGGAAAGATCAGCCTCACTGTCAACAAAGCTGCTTAAAGATCTTGATTCCAGCTGTTTGGAGCTCAAAGTCAATAGCTTGTTGTTTTCATTTTCCAGTCTTTCTTTATACTTCTTTAAGTTTTGCAATTGTTCAGCCAGTGCTCGAACTTTAGCTTTCTCCGCTTTGTTCTCACGTTCCAATCTGTCAGTCTCACACTTATGCTCATGTTGAAGAATTTGCTTAACCAAAATCACAGACAATCCATCCTTCTTGGTGGTCGTGCATAAGCGCTGTGTCTTTCCATAAGCCCTTTTAATGTCCGGCAATGCCCATAATCCACTCTGTGAGTGCTTGATGCTGTACTTCTTGCATACATCATCACGACACTTCCTCAGTCCCAGCCTTTTGTCTAAATATGCATTCAAATTCTCCAACATCTGGTCAATGGTAACACATGGAGGTTCTGTTCCATGTTTTTCTGATGTTGTTCTCAGGGTAGCTCCATTAGCATAGTTTCTTGCAGACTCAGCCATGGGAAGTACAGGACAGTGCTCTCAGAGGTGTGAAACAGAACAAAAGGTGTTAGAGCTAATAAAGGTGCTTATTCAAATTTAAATTCACAGCAGTCTGTTAAACCCTTACAAATACATAGACAGATTTAACATTTGTTTCAAAGCTAAAATAGTGGCTACTAAATTAGCACTTCCATTCTTTCAGTCCCAAATCTTATTTGGCTACTAACAATCTTTGAACAAATGTATTAAACTATTACTTTTAAAATCTCTTCAATCCCAACAGAGAATGTATCAAGCTTTGCTTCTGCATTATCTTAGTGATTTGACCAGAATTATTTTTTCACAGTTTCTACAATCTTCAAAGCAAGAATCAAGCCTAAAATTGCCTGAAAGCTTCTGTCTAATAACAATTCTTTTTGAGCATTATCTTAGAAGGCTAAGTAACTTTCTTTAGGATTTGTCCCTAATACAATGTGCTTAAATCTCACTGTATCCTTAAACCTAAGGCAAACAGCTTTCAGTTTTATGCCATCATATTGTAACACAGTTAGAATTTTCAAAATTACAATAATGGCTACTGTATTAGCCCACAGTCAAGAATTCCTCATTCTTGCAGCAATATCAGTCTCAAACTTTTTATGTTTGCTTTATATGGCTCCTAACCATCTTTGGACAAATAAGCTAAACTGTTATTTTTCAATCTCTACAATCACAGCTGAGAATGGACCAAGCTCTGCTTCTGCATAATCTTAGTGATTGGACCAGAATGATTATTTAACAGTTCATACAAACTCCAGAAAACGAACCAAACCTACAATGTTTTAAGATTTCTGTCGTATCACAGAAGGCTCTGTTACTTTCAAAATTAAAATAGTGGCTACTGAATTAGCACCCAGTCAAGAATTCCTAATTCTTGCAGCAACATCAGTCCCAAACTGTTTTACGGCTCCTACAGTCCCATGGGGAAATGGACCAAATTATTTTCAACAATTCCTACAATCTCCATGAGAAAGGACCAAATTGTTTCTTAAATAATTCCTACAAGTACCCTGAGAATGGACTAAGCCTAAAATTTCCACTGCTCTTTCAAAATCTTTTGATAAATGGACCAAATTGTTTCTTTAACAATTTCTGCAAATATCAAGTAAAAAGCCTGAAATTTCAGCAATACTATCACTGTATTTAGTTTTTTACTGCACTACATATACAGGTCGATCTGCTTACTTTAATGGTTACTTATAAAAGATGTCTCTTTTAAGGGTTCTTTAAGAGAGCTGATAAGTTTCACTCACCAAACTAGGATCTTTGAGATGAGATCCAGTTGATTAAAATAAAGTGTGTCCACAGATACAATATGTAGATCCAGGACTCGTCCACAAACAAAATCCGTTTATCTTCAGCTTTAACTGTAGATTCTCCAAGATTCTTCAGTTCATTTCTTGTTGCAGTTGATGAGTTTTCCTCTTTTCAGTCTCTCCTGGCTGGCTTCGCCAAATTGTTAGATTTTGCTGTATTTGGCTTAACCGTTCTTGGGGGGCTCGCCAATGTATTAGATTACTCTAACACATAAAATAAGTAAGCTGACCAAAGTTCTTACGGAGAGAAGACTTTATTGAAGACAATGGATAGTGCAGTTCCTCAGCAGTGATGTTAACCCGTCGGTCTTCAAGTAACTTAACTCAAAGTACTGTCTGTGAGACAGTACTTTATATTAGCATCAAACAAACCATTCTGTTTACGAAGCTCAGCAGGACCCTCTTCAGATGTTTCAGCTGTTGTTTTGCTAATACCCATTGAGATTGTAAAAGGGTCATTTAGTTCACACCTATCAGTTTGTGGGGGTCGAGGCACAGGTCACCCCATCATATCACATCAGAGTTTAATCAATGTAAATGCAAGTGAACTAAAATGCACATAATCTTTCACCGCCTAATGGTGAGTAAGGTCATGCTTACACC